AAAAAACCTTACCGCCGTTAAACCGGAGGAACCCGGAGGGAGGGGTTGGCCACCGGGGCGCGCCAAGTGGATGCTTCAGGGCCTTCCTTGACCGAACCTTCCTCCACAACCCTCCCTTCCCACCCAGGCCCACCAATCACCCCGGGGCTGCAAGCCGCTCCTGCCAAAAAGTGCGCACGAGCCAGCCGACAAACACCTGGCGCCCGCACTCCGACTGTGTGAGGTGCAGCCGAGGTGCAGCCGAGGTGCAGCCGAGGTGCAGCCGAGGTGCAGCCGAGGTGCAGCCGAGGTGCAGCCGAGGTGCAGCCGAGGTGCAGCAGCGGTGAAGCACCTGGTGTCGCGCGCCGTTCTTTGGCCGCACGCGGGCCGGGCCCTCGCCCGTCAGCTTCTTCTGCGCACGGCGGCCGCCCTCGCCGCCGCCGCCTCCGCCGCCTCCGCCACCTCCGCCGTCGCCACCGCCGCCACTATCGCCGCCGTTGTCGCCTCCTCCCCCGCCTCTCTCCTCGCCTGCGCCGCAGCCCGGAGCTGCTGCGGGCGGCGGCAGTAGAGAGCAGGCGGAGGAGAGAGGCTCTTGCAGCACGGCCCCGTGCGCCTTCCCGACGTAGTAAGAGACGACGTGCAACCTGCGCGCAGAGTGCGGCCGTGACGGACGTGCGCCTTTGACGTCACAGCCGAGACCGGCCTCGCCAGATCTCGCGGCCGTCGGAAGCCCTTCGCGCCACGGCTGCATCGCCGGCTACGGCGGTCGCCGCCTCTCCTCCCGCCGCCGCCGCCAGCTCGGGGTAGGCGAGCAGGCAGATGGTGGTGCCGCGCTGCAGCCGCGCAGCCAGCTCCGCAATCTGCTCGGCCGACAGGAAGCCGTCCGCGGCCTTTGCGAGGCACATCCAAGGTACGGGCGCCGCCGCACCGCCATTCGCGTCACCGCTCGTGCCGTAACTCTCGCCGCCACCGCCACCGCCGCCGCCGTTGACGCCGCCGCCACCGCCGTTCTCGTCGGGTGCCTCGCGGACCGAGAAGAAGAGCAGCCGCTTGGACTTTGACGAGGCAGCCACCACCTCTCCAGCGACATGGCAGCGCAGCGCGGTGTGCTTGCCACATGCGGCGGGCAGTGGTAGCGTGGCGGCGGAGACGGTGCCCGGCGGCCACTCTGGGCCTGGCAATGCGCGCTGGTGTTGCATGAAGCGCGGAGACCAAAGAGAATTGCTAGACCAGACCGTTTTGAGTAACCGGGCAAGCCTTTAAAATCCCTGTGTGGTGGCGGCGTGCCGTCCTCCCATCCCTCCCTTGGGTTGTCTGTTTTCTTTCTTTCTTTACCGGGGAAGCCGCCGGTGGCATCTCTTTCCACCCAAGAAGCCCGTTTGGAGGGATGGGCGGCAGTGTGCGGGCGGTGAGTGCTAGTCCTCTCATCAATTTAGAACGAAACGCCCCTCCCTCCCTTCTTCCCTCTACTAGCTGAGGGGCTCGCTAAACGCTCGCCGAGCTCCATGCTGTGCAACACCACCTCCTCACTAATCGTCAGGGGCGCGGAGAGCGCAGTGCACTACGGTGAGGCTGCGCAGCGGGGGCTCACCCCCTGCACCCCACCGCGCTCAGCGCGGCGCAGGGGAGGGCGGTCGGTGGCGGCGGCGGCGAGGCGCGAGGCGGTGGCGGCGGTGGTGCGGGCGGCGGGATGACAGGGGAGGCGGCGGGATTGACAGGGGAGGCGGCGGCCACGAGCGGAGCGGCGCGAGAAGGGGGGGGGCGGCGGCGGCGAGGCGCCGGTGAGCGAGGCGCCCGCGCCATCAGAGGGACGCGCCGCTGCGAGATGGAGGGCGGCGGTGACGGAGGCGAGGCGCGAGGCGGCGGCGGCGGCGGCGGCGGCGGCGGCGGGTCTCGGTGAGCGGCGGCGGGAGGAGGAGCAGCGGCGGCGGGAGGAGGAGCAAGCGGCGGCGCTCGCTCACTGTTGACGGGAGCGCTTTTGAGCCTGGGAGCCCATGCCACTGCGACCGGCGTGCCCGGGAACGGAGATCGCGCGCGCGCCGCCACTCACGACGCGCGCGCGATCTTCGCGGAGTCGGGTCCCCAGAGGGAAGCGGTCTTCTCGGCCGACGTCCAGCGGCGCGCAAGGAAGCAGGCGCAGCGGAGGCGGCCTAGCACCGGCTCGGCGCCGGGCGGTTGCGCT